TTGTCAGGGGCTGTCACGGGATTATCTTCCCCATCCCCTCATTGTATCTGGGGCCTAATGCCTGGGGTGGATCTTGGTGAAGTCATGGTGTGGGGCCTCGTGATGCCACCTTTTCCTTCTTAATGCTTCTTACAAATTCTGCTATTTATTATCTTTAAGAAGACCTTAAACAAATAGCTCATTAAATCTATCCTGAAGCTTTGACATTTTCCTTTTTTGATAATGTAATGAAGGTGTGTTTCAGCAGCATTTCAGTGATGGTTCCTATTAAATCTTATTAATCCAGTGTTCAGGAATGTTTTCAGATTTCAGGAATGAATCCTGTAACTGTGTACTACAGTGTCTAATATTTCCCTAACCTTCGTGCCAATTCTTCATAGTTCATCACTGTTTTGCCACACCAAATATCTAGGTGTTACAGTACTGTACTTTGGAACCTATGCAGGTCTGTGAGAAACACTGCCATAATAAAAAGCAAAAGCTCTCTGCAAGGAATAAATACCTTCCTCTCAGATTAAAATTGAGAAAAAGTTTTTTTTCAGAACATCTATAAATCGTGAAGAAACAGCAGAGATGTGAAGACCATAATGTGGAAAGAAATAATTCCTCCCCTTTTAAAATAGATGGAAACCCAGGAAAGCCTAGCTTCTGGTCACAGAGAGGACAGAAGTCAGTTAATAGGCGACCAACAGGAGTTGGCAGAACCAAAATAAACCTAAGAAAATTGGGCTTTTGCACCAACATAGATCTTGGGGAGCGCATAGAAAATCAAGCAATCCCACACCTTCGCCAGTGTACTTAAAGTCCCTGAAGTGTACCATGAATGTTTTGATGTTCCTCATGTTGCTTGTTTTTGGGTGAAAAATGTCTGTGATGTTTATTTATCGTGCTGTGGTGCTTCTGACATAAACCAAGAAAGGAAGATTGGCAATTGGGAATAGAGATTGTATAACCAATTTCCTTCACTTCAAGTTCTTCTGTGATTTAAGTTAGTTCTAATGATTCAAGAACTGCTTGCTGAAGTTTATTTATTCGTTTAACATATTTTTGCCTCGCCTTTTTCCTTAAGAAGGACCCAAAGTGGCTTACGTCATTAAAATACAATATTTAAGGCGAAAAACAGCAGGGATGTGGACTTGCAGCTTGAGACTCGCACTTGACTCCCCCCCCCAAATGATTTGCCACCCCTCTCGCGCCTCTCTGCTCCTGCGGCCGCTACCACATGGCACTGTCCTCAGAAATAAGCAGCAGGCTTCATTTTCCTTCCAGGAGCAGGCCCGTTGCTTCTGAGCATGCCCAGAAGTGGCAGGCTTGGCTCTTGCTTCTGGCCATGGCCAGAAGCAGCAGGTCTTGCTCTTGGAAGGGAAGCTGAGCCTACAGCTTGCTTCTGAGGACAGTGATGTGTGGCAGCAGCAGGGGAGAGTGGGGTGGAGGTGGGGGCAGTGGCAGAGGCAGTTAGGCAGTGGGGGACAGGATCCAGGCCCACTGCTTCTAAGCACACACAGAGGCATGCTCTTCTCCAGAAAGAGAAGCCAAGTGCATGAACATGTCCCCTCCCAGCTGCTGCCTGAGACTGGGGACTTGAGGCCTGGGACTCAGGACTTGGTACCAAAGGCTGGGTTTCGGACTTGGGATTTGGTACCAAGGACTTGGACTTGAGGTCCAAAGACTTACCAGCACCCCTGACAATCAGTAAGAATACAAGCAAAGATCGAGAGCAAATTTCCTGCTTCCTTCCATTTGGCGGGAACAGATCTCTTGCTTCTGCTTACCTGAAAGGAACAGAAGATCTGCTGCAAAGCTTTGCTTCAGCCAAGGAGAGCAAATAGGTGGTCTCTTGCAAACCACGTGGGAGTATCTCAAGGCAAAGGCACTGCACCAGGGACGCTGGTCCTCAGGAAGGAGAGGACTTCGAAGAATGTTCATTGTAAGTTCGTCCTGCGTTAGAGATCTCTCTTTTCTTGCAGGGCTTTCCCTGTGCCAGTACATGGCCC